CCAAAAATGTCAACATCAAAGAGTTCCCTGGGTGGCACTGTGATTAGGATTCTGGGCTTTCACTGCCACCACCTGGGGTTCAGTCTCAGGTTGGGGAATCAGATCCTGAAAGCCAGCGGAACAGTGCTCCCCTCAAAAAAGTATCATAAATGATTCCCTGCCAAAAAAGGAGGAAACTGTTTCAGATTAACAGAGACCACAGAGACATGATAGCTTACACACCATGTGTGATCCTTGATTAGATCACTGATCAAAAAAATCCAACTAACTGGGATAATTTGGCAAAATTGATGACAATTAAAAAATTCCTGGTGGTTTAGTGGTAAAGAATCTGCCTGCCAATGCAAGAGATGTTGGTTTGATCCCTGGGTCAGGAAGATCCCTAGAGAAGGAAATAAGCAACCCACTCCAGTATTCTTCCCTGGGAAATTTCATGGACAGAGGAGCCTGGCAGACTACAGTCCATGCGGTCACAAAAGTCAGACAAGACTTAGCAAGTAAGCAACAACTGGGATAGTTTAAAAAAGCAATACAGATTAATATTGTTTTGATGTCAATTTCTTGACCACAAAAATTCTACTGTTGTTATGAGAAAGTCCTGTTCTCAGGAGCTAAGTATTTAGGAATGAAGAGTAATGATGTACACAACTTACTTTAAAATAGTTCAGGATGGAGTAGGAAATGGCAACCCACTCCAGTACTCTTGCCTGGAGAATCCCATGGATAGAGGACCTTGGTGGGCTACAGTCCATGGAGTTGCAAAGAGTCAGACACAACTAAAGCGGCCTAGCATAATACTAACGTAACATATAATATTATTAAATGATAATAGAATAATAAAAATAAAGAAAATAATTCAGGAAAGAAAAATGTATATATATATATGTATGTGTATATATATATACCCTTTTACATATTTTATCATTTTGCTACATTTGCTATGTATGTAAGACATACATAGATGTATATATGCTACATATACATTATATGTATAATATGCATATTTTAAAAAATAAATTTATTTATGGTTGCACTGGGTCTTCAGTGCTGCATGCTGGTTTTCTCTAGTTGCAGTGAGTGGGGGGCTACTCTTTGTTGTGGTGCACAGGCTTCTCATTGTGATGACTTCTCTTGTTTCAGAGCAGCACTCAAAGGTACATGACTTAGTTGCCCCGCTGCATGTGGGATCTTCCTGAACCAGAGATCAAGCCCATATTCCCTGCATTGGTGGGCAGATTCTTCACCTCTGGACCACCAGGGAAGCCCTGCATATGTTTTATACAGAGATTGACATTTTAATAGCTGTCACTTTCATTATCAGTATATAAGAAATATATGTATGTAGATATACACCTGTTTTATATATGCATATATACATGTGTGTATGTACACATACTTACTCTGATTATGTGTATATAAGAAATATATGTAGATATACAAATGTTTACATATATATATTTGTATTATATGTGTGTAGGTGTGCAAATGTGACAAAATGCTAGGTCAATGGTTTCAACTTGGAATGACTTTGCCTCCCAGACATGACGATGTCTGGAAGCATCCGTGTCTTTCTCAGTTGAACTGGTGCTACCAGCATCTGGTAGGTGGAGACCAGGGATGATGCTAAATATCCCTCAGTGCACAGGGCAGGCTCTCATGACAACCAATTATTCAGCCCCAAATGTGAATAGAGCCAAGTTGAGAACCGTGATTTAGGTAAAGGGCCTAGGTGTCATTGCACTTTCTCTTAATCTTTTGGTAAGCTTGAAATAATAATAATAATAATAAAAAAAACCCAAAAAACTCTTATTGTCCTTTTTGTACCATGTGCAGTGCTTAGTTGCTCAGTCGTGTCTGACTCTTTCTGACCCCATGGACTATAGCCTGCCAGGCTCCTCTGTCCATGGGGATTCTCCAGGCAAGAATACTGCATGGCAACCCACTCCAGGGGATCTTCCCAACCCAAGGATTGAACCCAGGTCCCCCGCTTTGCAGTATTCTTTACTGTCTGAGCCACCAGGGCTTTTTTAATTGTCATCAATTTTGCAAGGGGTACTTCCTTTCTAAAAAATGTCCTCTCTCGGGAATTCCCTGGCGATCCAGTGTTTAGGACTTTGTGCTTTCACTGTTAGGGCCCTTGCGGCCAAAATAAATATATGTATCTTCTCTCCACATGCATTACCACATCTTCCTTCCCCTTCCATGGACATTTTGCATGTTCCGGTAGTTTCTGGCCATGGGCCTTGCCTCCTCCCTCGCACTGGAACAGCACTTCCTTCACCAAAGGCTCCAATCCTCCCACAGCCCACGTGTGGCCTGTGTGTGGACTCTCCTTCACGGCTCCTTTCACAGGCTCCCCTTTGAATTCTCATTCATAGGAAGGATCAGGATCCTGGCTGAGTTGGGTTTAGGAGAAATAAAAACTGCTCACCAGCCCAGGTTGGATGCATGAGACAAGTGCTCGGGCCTGGCGCACTGGGAAGACCCAGAGGGATCAGGTGGAGAGGGAGGTGGGAAGGGGGACCGGGATGGGGAATACATGTAAATCCATGGCTAATTCATTTCAATGTATGACAAAAACCACTGCAATGTTGTAAAGTAATTAGCCTCCAACTAATAAAAATAAATGAAAAAAAAATAAAAAAAAAAAAACCGCAGGGTTCGAGGACCTATTTTATCATCAGAGGACCCCCAAGTGTCCTATAAAGGCTAGTCTCACCCTCTTCTTAATCACCTGCATAAACCAGACGATGAATGTGCTTTATCCAAGTGGAAACAGAAATGCAGCTGCCACCACAATGGAACCTGGGCATCAACCCCCTTCACCAGGCTGGGAGCACCTGAAGGGAAGGGACCCTGTTTTACCTTCCTAGTATCAAGTACAGCAGATAACTCAAGAAATCGTCAAATGAGATAATTTTATTGAAGAAAATTTTAGATAGAGTGTTTCACCAAAAAAAATTTTGTTTGAAGTAAAATGTGCCACAACTTTTATATGGCTTGTGTGTATTAGTTCATGTCATATACTCACTATACCACCGCCACAGCTATTCAAAATTCCTAAGGGCTTCTCAGAACCCCAGCACTGCAATGAACACAATACTAAATAGCCACTCTGCTAAAACCTGGGTGGAGACTCTGAGTACACAGCGCCCCAGCCAATCAGGTCTATACTTCCTCTGTTCAAATGCTTCCAGTACTTTCTGCGTGCTCATCATTTAACCATCTCAACAGAGGAAGGCATCACCACCTTGAGATGATCCACTCAGCCCATAGAAGTCTGCTGACTGGCACGTCTGTCCTCCCTTCAGTAATGTTCTCAGGCTGTGGAGAAGATCAGAAAGCAGCAATGCAATTGCCACCTCCCTAATGTTCCGATAAACACGGCTCAGACACGAGCTCCTGAACCCCAGAGAGGCAGAGTAGGGCCTCAGACATCCTACAAGGTCAGAGATCCGTCAGGTCTTTCAGCATCTGGTGAGGCAGCAAGAACTAGAGTGGGGCTTCTCCAAGGGTCCTGCAGCAGCGCAACTGGTTTAGTGGAAACGCAAATTCTTGAACCCTGCCCTTCCTGCTGGGCAGGGCCCAGCAACCTGTACTTTCGGGAGTCTTCTGGTGACCATGGTGCATGCCCAGGTTTGAGAAGGACTGGACTAGAGCTGGTGTGTCCACAGAAACCACTCGGATCCAGTGCCACAGTTGTCAGCAGTGTGAGAAGGTCACCCCGTTTCTCAGGAACAGACAGGGTCCTTTCAGGTTAAGAGGAGCACCATCCTTCACCTGACTGAGTCAGGGTTCCCCTGCCAGCCAGCCAAGGGCTCACACCAAGTCAACACAGACCATAGAGCCAGACAAGTGTCACCCCAAGCTCTCAAGGGTTCTGAGCAAAGCCCCCCTTCTCTGGTACAAAGATTCACATACTTGCCTTTTTTCTCTGATATTTACAAAATCTCTGATAGTTACGGGATTCAAAGATGGTGCTTATACTTAAAGGTGCCTTTCCTTCCAAGTTACACATTTGGGGCTTTTAGGTCTTTGGGGGCCAAGCAGAACCAATTGCGGTTTTCTCTCTTAAGTGTCTCCACACAGCTGGGGAGATTCCAGAATATCAGTAGAAGACAAAAGGCACATTTCCAGTAGTAACTCCAAGAGTCAGGGTCAGTCAAACTTAAAAGAAAGGGCTGCAGAAGGTGGGAAGATGTAAATGTGGAGAAAAAGAGGATGAAGAGTTTGGTGAAAGAGAAAGGAAAGAGGGACCAGGGCTGATTTATCTTCTTCTCCCTGTAAATCCCATGGACAGAGGAGCTGGTGGGCTACAGTCCATGGGGTCAAAGAGTCGGAAATGACTTCGGGACTAGGCATGAGCACCCTGCACCGGGACCACTGACCCTTCATTCCTTTGAGCCACTGTTCCCTAGCAAGGTCAGAGCAGGGCTGACCACCCTGGTCTCCATCGGTGTCTGTGGCTAGTTCAAGTCAGACAAGAGTCAGGCTGCTGAGGAGAAAATGGTAGTAACAAAATATTTATTGCTTTTCCAGAAAAAGATAAGAAAAGGAAACTGTGGTCAAAAGAGGGACCCATGAGCAAATACAATGCTTTTTGTCATGTCTACTTTAAAAAACAAAACCCCTTTGGGCAAAAGAAAACTCGTGAAAGCTAGAACTGCCCTTCGACAGCAAGGTTCAATTCTAACCCAGATTTATAATAACTTTAAAAAGTTCTATCAATTCCACCACACTGCGCGGGAATTACCGCACACTTTCACCCCCCAGCCCCTTAACTTCTGAAAAACCAAACTGGCTCGCTCACTCATATCTGGGTTTAGCTGAGGAAGTAAAATGCGTTTATCATTATCTACCACAGAAAAGCACACTCAGTTTGCATCTCAGATTGTCTTCAGTGAAGTCTATTTTCCTTGCAACGGTGGCATAATCCTGCTTTCTCTTCCCCGGGTTCTGTTCTCTGCAGGATAGAGGGGCTGGGAAACGCTCGCTCTCGCTTAAGTCTTGCCTTTCCCCTTCTTTGCCTTGGCGGCGCCTGGCCAGCGGAAGCCGCGCAGCTGCAGGCAGTCGGCCACGTTGTGCGCGATGTAGTAGAGGTTCAGCATGGCGGCGGGGCTGAGGATGTCCACTTCCGGCTTCTTCTGCTTCTTCCCACGCGACTTGCCCCGGCTTTTCTTCTTCCCTTTAGCTGGCTTTCAAAGACAAGTATATACACGGGGCAAAAGTTAGTTCTTATAACCTTGAAAATATGTTGAAATATGTTGAAAATATATAATTTTCAACATTTCCCACCGAACTTAAGGAAAAAAAAAAAAGTTCCTCAAGGGGGAAAAAAAAACTGTGACAACAAAACCGTTTGTATAAAGCAGGAAGAGAAGTCACATGCAGTCTGATGCAGCGACTGCCTATCAAGCACTGTCCCCAGAGACCCAACGTGATTTTAAACGCCCAGAGACTGGGAGAGCAAGGCGGAGAAACTGAGGCACAAGACCTACACGTTGTGGGCTGTGTCATTCCACGAGAGGGTGAAGTACAGGGACATGAACCAGGGCCGGGGAGAGAAGGCGAAGGGCCAGAGGGGAATGCGTGTAGGCGGAGAGGAAGGCTGGCGCAAAGGAGAATTCTGTGTTCCAGGCTTCCCCAGCTCTCATGTGCCTCCCCAAAGATGCCCTCCCAAGCAGAGAAGCAGTGTTCTCCTCTTTACTTTCTTTCAAAAAAAACAAACTGCAAAAACAAATAACACACACACACACACACAAAAGCCCCGACCTATAGCAATTAGTATGTGGGCCTTGTTTGCAGTTTGATTAGAACGAGCCATAAAAAGGCATTTTTTTAAAAAAGCAATTGAGAAAATTTGACAATATCAAGTAATTATTAATTCAATTAGGTCTGAGAGTGGCTTTGGGTCATGGAAGAAAATGTTCTCACGTTTCAGGGATGCATACTAAAATCTGTAGGAATGAAATAAAAGGAAGCCTGAGATTTTCTTTAAAATACTGCACCTTGCCCACCCCCACCCGACCAATAACACATAGATGAAGCCAAGGTAGAAAAATGCTTACAATTTCTGAATCTGAGCTATGACTATATAGGGATTAATTTTACTATTCTTTTTGTGCATGTTTAAGAATTTTCCTAGTAACAATTAAAATGTATTGGCTAATTAGAATCAAATACATATTTTGGCATTTGTTATGTGATAGTCTCCACCTCATTAAGCAGTCATGAGGATTAAGGGAGACATGAATCTCAGGCACATAGTAAGGGTCTGACACTAAGCACTGAATAAAGGACGTTGCCATCACTTTTACCATCGCTAATCCTCATGAGCTTCAAGGGAGGGAGGTATATTCCCATCTTAAAAATGGGAAAGCAGAGGCTCAGCAAAGTCACAGTGCAACCGGCATTCACCAGGCTCGGGAGCAGCGCTCTGGCCACAATCACGCTGCCTGGTTAAGGCTCTGTGGGAAACGGAATGGATACCATCCTAACCGGGGAACAAATGATCCCTGCGGTTTTGCTACAGACACACGAGGCTGCGAGGAATTCTCTATTCCTACTACCCACCCATACAGAAAATAACAGATGGGAGTATACTACAGAAAAGGTGTCTCTTCTAGGCAAGGGGAAAGGAGGAATGTGTAAAGTTATCAAGGATGCCTGCAAGGGCTAAATGTTTGTATAAAATAGACGTCCTGTTCATAGCACCTCACTTTAAAAATGTCCTCAGTTAAACAAAGAGAAACATAGTCAATGTGTTAAAAATACTAAAATACATTTTTGTTAAGTGAAATGGAGGATGCTCCTAGATATGAAATGCAGGAATGAAGATGACACATTATGTTGCAACACAGTGGCCTGGCTTCTGTGAGGAAATCCAAATGAAGAGAAACAATATGGAGCCCCATATGATAACTGCATCTCCCGATAAAGCATTCTTCTGGGGTATCGGATATGCACAGCCATAAGCTCTTAAGGATTCTGAGTCTTGGCTTCCTTTCTGATTTTATACTCTTTTGCATGTCAAATACACTTGACTTACCTGGCATAACTGCGAAAAAAAAAAAAAAAAGTGTGTGTTTTAATCTCTAAAATGGTTTGAGAACTAAGATTCACACAAAAGTTTGACATTTTTATTCAAGGTTCTCATCTTTTTGAAGAAATTGGCAAACTGATTTTAAAATTCATATGGCAATGCAAAAGATATAAGACAGAGGTTTGAAATTTTTATTCAAAGTCTCATCTCTTTGTGGAAGATTCTAAAGTTCATAGGGAAATGCTAAGGGCTTTGAAAAAGAAGAACAAAGTTGAGGACTAATACTACCTTATTTCTAGAATTATAAAGCTATAGTATTCAGATGGTATTGGTGTTAAGATAGACAAACAGATTAATAAAGTACAAACTAGACCCACATGTATATTTACATGATTCAAATAACTGATTCAACTGATTTTCAACAGAAGTGCCAAAGCAGTTCAGTGGAACAAGGATAGGATAATCATTTCCATAAATGCTGCTGGAACAATGAATATCCATGTGCAAAAAAATGAACTTCAATCCATATATGTTCGATATGCAAAAATTAACTCAGAATGGCTCACAGACCTAAATGGCTCAAAATGATAAAACTTACAGAAGAAAATACAGAGAAAAGCCTTTGTGACCTCAGATTAGGCAAAAATTTCCTAGATATGATATCCAATTTGATGTCTGTAAAAGAACAAATAGGTACATTCACCATCAAAATGAAAACTTATGCTCTTCAAAAGATACTGAAAGGAGAATAAAAAGCAAAGACACAGACTGGGAGGAAATATTTTTGCAAATCATACGACTTGAATGTGGTGATGACTTAATGTCTGTACATCTATGCCAAACTTATCAAACTGTACATTTTATATATGTACAATCTATTGTGTATCAACTCTAGCTCAATAAATCTGTTAGAAAATTACTATAAAGGAATGAAAATTTTCAGTTCTGAGCTGGTTGGGTTGGCTAACTACAACCCCATGGCTCTTGGCTATTTCTGGTCTCAGAACACAGAGCTCTCGACTTAAAACTCTCTGAAATCCTTAATGAAGACCATTTTAGCTTCAAGCCACACTTGCCTTCCTTCTAGTACCCAAATGTGCCAAGCTTCTCCCTGCTCCCTCCTCTTCCTGCACATCTCCACAGCGGGCCTAATTTGTTTCTTATCTTTGTGCTAGCCTCTGCTCAAATACTACCTCTTCAGAAAAACCTCCCAGACACCATGCCTGTATTTTTTCTACTATTAAGGTGGCCATATAATTCATTGCCCAAACCAATGCACTTCAACAAGCATTAACTGGGACTGTCCCAGGCAAAGAGGGAGGAAGTACCGATGGCCTCCCAATAACCCTCCCAGCACTGTGACTTCCTATCTCCTTGCCCCAAGCACTCTTTACTACTTAATAATACTTTTTGTTTATGTATTTATTGTATGTTTTCCTACCCAGAGGTTTTATCTATGAGTTCACTTAATTCCCCAGAACCTAGAACGATGTCTGGAACATTGCAGGGATGAATAAAATATGCTGAGTGAATAAAATGCAACTCAGATGCAATGCAAACAGTTGAGAAGAGAGGAAAGGCAAAGGAGAAAGGGACCCATACAGCCAACTGAATGCAGAGTTTCAGAGAACAGCAAGGAGAAATAAGAAAGTTGTCTTAAATGAATAATGCAAAGACATAGAGGAAAACAACAGAATGGGAAAGACTAGAGAGCTCTTAAGGGAGCATTTCATGCAAGGATGGCACAATAAAGGACAGAAATAGCAAGGACCTAACAGAAGCAGAAAAGATTAAGAAGAGGTGGCAAGAATCCAGAAGAGTGATACAAAAAAGTCTTAATGACCTGGATATACATAATGGTGTGGTCACTCACCTAGAGCCAGACATCCGGTAGTGTGAAGTCAAGTGGGCCTTAGGGAGCATGAGTATGAATAAAGATAGTGGAGGTGATGGAATTCCAGGTGAGTTATTTCAAATCCCTAAAGAGGATGCTGTTGGAGTGCTGAATCAATATGCCAACAACTTGGAAGACTCATCAATGGACACAGGACTGGAAAAGGTCAATTTTCATTCCAATCCTAAAGAAGGGCAATGCCAAAAAATGTTCAAACTACCGTTCAATTGCACTCATTTCACATGCCAGCAAGGTAGCACTCAAAATCTTTCAAGCTAGGCTTCAACAGTAAATGAATCAAGAACTTCCAGATGTACAAGCTGGATTTAGAAAAGGCAGAGGTACCAGAGCTCAAATAGCCAACATCTGCTGGATCATAGAAAAACCAGGGGAATTCCAGAAAAACATCTGCTTCATTGACTATGCTAAAGCCCTTGATTGTGTGGATCACAGGAAACTGTGGAAAGTTTTTAAAGAGATGGGAATACGAGATCACCTTACCTGCCTCCTGAGAAATTTGTATGCAGGTCAGGAAGCAACAATTAGAAACTTACATGGAACAAAAGACTGGTTCCAAATAGGGAAAGGAGTACATCAAGGCTGTATACTGTCACCTGGCTTACCTTATGTGCAGAGAACATAATGTGAAATTGCCAGGCTGGATGAATCACAAGCTGGAATCAAGACTGCCAGGAGAAATATCAACAACCTCAGATATGCAGATATTACCACCGTAATGGCAGAAAGTGAAGAGGAACTAAAGAGCCTCTTAGTGAGGATGAAAGATAAGAGTGAAAAATCTGGCTTAAAATTCAACATTCAAAAAACTAAGATCATGGCATCTGGTCCCATCACTTCATAGCAAATAGATGGGAGAAAAGTGGAAACAGTGACAGATTTTATTTTCTCCAGAATCACTGTGGATGGTGACTACAGCCACGAAATTAAAAGAACCCTCCTCCTAGGAAGAAAAGCTATGACAAACCTAGAGAGCATATTAAAAAGCAGTCACTTTTTAACTTGGTCAACAAAGGTCTGTATAGTCAAAGCTATGGTTTCTGCAGTATTCATGTAGGGATAAAGAAGGCTAAGGGCTGAAGAATTGACACTTTTGAACTGTGGTGCTGGAGAAGACGTTTGAGAGTCCCTTGGACAACAAGGAGATCAAGCCAGTAAATCCTAAAGGAAATCAATTCTCAATATTCATTGGAAGGTATTGATGCTGAAGTGAAGCTCCAGTACTTTGGCCATCTGATGTGAAGTGCCCACAAACTGGAAAAGACCTTGATGCTGGGAAAGACTGAGGGCAGGAGAAGAAGGGGGAGAAGGGGGTGACAGAGGATGAGATTGTTGGATGGCATCATGGACTCAATGGACATGAGTTTGAGCTAACTCCAGGAGATAGCGAAGGAGAGGGAAGTTTGGTGTGCTGCAGTCCATGGGGGTCGCAAAGTTAGACACGACTAAGGGACTGAACAATAACAAGAGTCCACAGAAAGAATCCCACTTGGGACCCTAGGCGGGGCAGCAGAAGCCAGGTGCCTGACTAGTTGCTCTTGGTATGCACTGGCGCCCTGGGCATTTTCGGGTGTGAAAGTTGCTCCACAGAACCAAAGGACTTCAACCAACCAACTCACAAAAAGAGGGCCTGATTCTGCGGTTACAGTCCCCTTCGGCAGGCGCTGACGACCAAGAAAACCCCTCTCCCCCCTCATCTTTACCCAGAGTGCTCAGATCACTGGGCTGGACACCGCCACCCCACGACCCTTGTAGATGAAGGCGCCAATCTGTTGGCGCCGGCAACAAAGCTTAGTAAAGGGTGCCTCTACAAGACAAACGGTACTAAACCAATTTAACAAGCGCCGCAGAACCTCTTAGACTTAAGTAGCGTGTATTACCATGGCAATGCGTTCTTAGTTGAGCAGGTGAGTGTGGCAAGGGTTCCCAATCCTGAAAGAAAGAGAGAGACCCGAGTCCTCCGCATCGCCTGCGGGCGGCGCCTCCGCGCCCATTCCTGCCGCTCACCGGGCTGCCGCCTCCGCACTCGCCAGCGAACCGCCCCGGTCCCGGAACCTCGCCGCGTTTGTTTGGGACCGGCTCCCGCGGCGCGGCGCGAGGAGGCCGAGTGGCTCAGGGGAGTCCGGCGGGGCAAGGGGCCGTCAGCCACGCCGCCACGCCGCCACGCCGGACTGGGCACCCGCCGCACGGATGTTTCCGGGATGCGCGTCTGCAGCAAGTGAGCCTCGCGAGCGCTGGAGAGCCGCGCGCACAAACGTCGGGATGTGCGCGCCGCGGGGGCGGGGCCGCGCAGTGTTTACCCGTTGCCTGGACACCCAGGCGTGGCGCCAGGCCGTTGGCAGAGTCCGACCCGCCCACCCGGTCTGCGGAGCCCTCGCCCGCCTTCCTGACAGACGCCGCCAGCCGTCCTGGATGCGCCTCTTTGGCCGGGCCATTGTCCCTCGCGCGACTCTGGCTAAGGTTGCGCGCGCGTGGAACCCAGGGTCGGCGCAGCGGCGGCTGGCTCCGGGCCACACCCGGCCGGGTCGGGTGGGGGTGGGGTACCGTCTTGGCCTTGGAGTGGGCGGATTCAGCTGTGAGTGCGAGTTCTGCCACTCACCGACTCACCTTGGAGAAGTTAGCTAAGACTCCAGGACCGTGTTTGTAAAATGAGATAAAAGCCTTTGAGGGTTGAAGTGAAAACAACATGCGGAAATGTCTTTAAAGAGCCTGTAATAATAGAAACATTACAAAATTTAATTTTTTTTTTTCATTATTTATTTTGGTTGTGCTGTGGGCGGGCTTTCTCTAGTTGTGTCAAGTCGGGGCTACTCTCATAGTTGCAGTGCTCTGACTTCCCACTGTAGTGGCTTCTCTCGTTGCAGAGCATAGGCTCTAGGCACTTGGGCTTCAGTAGTCGTGGCACATGGGCTTAGTTGCCCCACTGAGATGTGGAATCTTCCCGGACCAGGGATGGAATCTGTGTCCCCTGCATTGGCAGGCGGATTCTTAACCGCTGGAGGAGCAGGGAAGTCCTACAAAATGCTTTTTAAAAGAACGTGAAGAAAGTTCTTATACCGGTTGTGGGATAAAGCAAGAAAGGACCCAGTAAAGGCAGTTCTGCTTCCAACCGTCAGCTCATCCTGACATCCTCCATGCAGAGGGAGAATACACTTTAGGACCAGGAGCCTTACTCATTTTAATGACTCATCTCCTTACTTTTTGGAGAAGGCAATGGCACCCCACTCCAGTACTCTTGCCTGGAAAATCCGATGGATGGAGGAGCCTGGTGGGCTGCAGTCCATAGGGTCGCTAAGAGTCGGACACGACTGAGCGACTTCACTTTCACTTTTCACTTTCATGCACTGGAGAAGGAAATGGCAACCCACTCCAGTGTTCCTGCCTGGAGAATCCCAGGGACGGGGGAGCCTGGTGGGCTGCCGTCTATGGGGTCGCACAGAGTTGGGCACGACTGAAGTGACTTAGCAGCAGCAGCTCCTTTCTTTTTATTCAAGTTATCAGGCATCTATCATGTGCCTGATCCTCACTTTTGGGCCCAGGAATTCAGCCCTAAATGCAGCAAAGTTCCTTTTTCCTTTGGGCGGGGGGATGGGGGGGTGGGGGTGGGGTCATGTGGGGGGCGTGGTAGACATAAAAATGATAGGTGCAACAGGATGTATTACGTTGTTTATTAAATTGATGTGAGGATGGTTGACAACTCTTAGAACGGTGGATGGGGAAGGCCTCTCTGAGGTTTAGCTGAGATTTGGATGATGAGGAGTCAGCTGTGTCAAGGTCGGGGACAGGACATTGCAGGCCCAGGGCAGGAGGAGGAGACTGGACCCAGAGCAGGGGTGGGGTCCTAAAAGGCTGCAACCAAGGTCAGGTGTGTTTTTATCTTCCTTCCTATGTTTGATGAACTGGCTTCCAAAGTGGGATATTTGTATACCAGGTTCTCATATATTTCCTTTCTCTAATCCTTCATCAGCAAAGCAAACCCAAGTTCCAGCTACTTTTAGGAGAAGACCTGTGCTTTCTCCTCTGCTGGCCCCTCTCAATCCCTGGGTTGGGGCGGCTCATACTCCTTGCTTATTACAGTCAGTGGGTCGTCACAGCTTTCTCAGGTTAAAGTCTACCTGGCTCAGCTTCAGATCTGTTCTCGTCCTTCTTTTCCCGAGTTCCAGATTGGAGGTCTGAAAAAAAAAAACCAACCACACATATAAAGCACAAGAAAGCATGAAAGTGGACAGGTGGAACATAAAATGGATGGTCTAGTGACAACTGGTACAACTTCAATGGCAGCACCATTTTCCACTGACCGAAAGAGTCATCAGTCTTTGCACTGGAGAAAGCCTTAGCACTGACCTGCAGGAGGTGAGGAGGGCTGCTGAGGTGTGGGGCTGAAAGGCAGACTTACAACAAAGAGCACAGGTTGCTGTTAGAATCAAAGGGAAATGTCATCGACATAAGCATTTTTCTTAAATACCAGTCCACTTAAGAATCACTTAATGTTCAGGGCTTAAGATCCATTTGTTCTACAAGAACTGAACAAATTTTCCTGTGTAAACTGAAAGATGATGTTAAATTTAGATAACTATTCAAACTCACATTAGAAAAGCACTAATTTTATCTGTTTATGAGTACACATCCTTATGTCTTCTTTATAAATAGTAACATTAACTGTGCTGTTCTTAAAAAAAAATTGCCAGAAATAAAGTGTGCATTCTTAGAATATTCAAACTTAGAATATTCTGTCACTATTGTTCTTAGAAGTTACATTTAAAAATTCCTATTTCTTCCTTTCTACTCAGGTGGTTTCTTCCTTCCTCCCTCCCTCCTCCCCTTCCTTCCCTTTTTCTTTTTATCTCATTAAGTTCAACAGTATAGCACTGCATTCACTTCATCCATTGTAGCCTGAATTTTGAAGAGGAAGTTGCAGAAAAAATAAAATTCTTTGTAGATAATCTCAAGCACTAGGGTCCCAACAGTGAGAACCTTGAAGTGCAGTAAGACCAGGTAGGGCAGACTCAGGAAATTATCTAGGGCAGGGGTTGGCAAACTCAGAAAGTAAATGTTTTAGGCTTTTCAGGCCTTGTATCCTCTTCCAACTACTCAACTCTGAGAATGTAGAATGAAGGCATTCATAGACAGCCCATGAACAAATGAGCGTGACTGTGTTCCAATAAAATTATTATGGAAACTAAATTTTAATGTCCTAGAATTTTCATGTGTCATAAGATATTTTTCTTCTATGGATTCCCCACCCCCACCCCCACCTAAGCATTTAAGAATGTAAAAACCATTCTTAGCTCACAGGTTGTATAAAACTGCTGGTGGGCCAAATTTGGGCTATAGTTTGCTGACCCCTGAGCTAGAGAATTTAAATTTAAATGCTATTCCTGCTGGAAGATTCTTTAATAGGGGAATGAGGTGGGAATAACCAGAAATTATTGAATACTTATGTTTAACAAGCATTATTCTAAGCACTACTACATTGATACATTTAATCCTTATAATTCTAGTGAAAGTGGGTAGTATTATTACCTCCATTTATAGATGGGAATCTGAGGCATTGGAGAAGGAAATGGCAATCCACTCCCGTATTCTTGCTTGAAGAACTCCATGGACAGAGGAACCTGACACGCTACAGTCCATGGGGTCACAAAGAATCGGACATGACTAACACTACTACTATCTGAGGCATAGAGAGATGAAATAACTTGTCACTTACCACACAACTCATGGAGGCAAGCCTGGATATTACAACTCACCAAGTTGGGTCCAGCACCATCAATCTGAGCCCTTATGCTGTACGGCCTTTCTGGGTAAATTATCTCATATCTTGCACCAAAGACATATTTTCACAGGCATCCACATGGAGGATCTTTGTCCTGCCAGCTCCATTAAGCATTTGAACAAAAAGTTACAGAATATTCAAAGTAATGTTTCCATTTGGAGGCAAGGGGACAGATGGCCCTGTCTTATTTAGTAAGAAAGTCACTGACACTAAAGGTGTTTGGGCAGAGGTGGGATGACTTTTGTACTACTGCAGTTCCTTTGAAAGGCTTTGGTTATTTTCTTTTCCATAAAATAAAAGTAAAAAATTTAAATCTTGCTTTTTGAAATTTAAGTCTGACTAACTACTAAAGGAGCAAACAGGCTACGCATCCCCCACAGCCCACTCAGATACAATCTCATTCAGCTTACAGGAGCTGAGAGTCTGAATGGCCAGAAGAACTGCTGGTAGGAAATTGTATTTCAGCTAGCTTTGGTCCATTGCTGTGAGAACTGAATGAATCTCTCTTAACCTCATCCCCACCACAACATACACACATGCATACACCCTGTCCTTCCCGTCTATACCTTTCCTTCTAACATTTCTTTTTAAAGTCAATCTCTTTTCTTTTTGGCTGCACCACATATGGGATCTTAGTTCCCTGACCAGAAACTGAACCTGTGTTCCCTGTAATGCAAGCTTGGAGTCTTAAGCACTGGCCCTAACATTTCTTAGCTGGAAAATGTTGGAAAGCAGAGTTAAGGAAGAATTATTTGATATATTAAATTTAACCATACAAGAGAACACTGATATAGAAAAATAGATCTCCAGGATAAATAAGAGAAAGAGTAGAACAGTACATTGTGCTCCTATCTGTAAAAAAAAAACAAAACATGTCGATGAGAAAGAGATGGATAGTATGAGAATTCTCTGAAAGAATAAAAAATAAAAATAAATCACTGACAGTGGTTAATTCTGGGGAACAAGACGAGATCTGGGTTGGGAGATTACATTTTTCATTGTGTACTCTGAGAATTATTTGAATTTTTAATACGTACCTTCTTAATAAGAATACCAACACATAAATGTATTCTTCAGTTTTACACATGTTCCCTCATGTCATATCCTCTACCCAAGCCTAAAATTTTCTTTATTTGAATCTCTCTTGACTACATCAATAGCTGCAAGTATTTTCTAAATAAAAGTGACTTCCCTGGGTCTTGCATTATACCTCTAATACTGATAGAGTAAATAAACCAATATTGCTATTTGTTAGTGTCTGATGAGTTTCAGTGGGTTGAATGGTGACCCTCTAAAAGGTATGTCCATGTCTTCATTCCTGTAACCTGTGAATATGGCAAAAGATGTAAGGATATTTAGGTGGCTACAGAGCTCATCAATTATAGCATCCAATGAGAGCAAAGTCATGAGTTTGATTGTTGTATAAACCAGTGTCATTTTTGTTCCAAAATCACAGGTGCATCTTTTTTTTTTTTGGCTGTGCCATGCATCTTGTGGGATCTTAGTTCCCTGACCAGGGATTGAACCCAGGCCCCGGCAGTGAAAGCACTGCGTCTTAACTAGTGGGCCGCCAGGGAATTTGTCACAAGGACATTCTTACTCTCAGCTATTTTTATTGTAAATATGGGTCTTCTCAAGAAGGACTAGAGAAAAAAGAAT